TGTAGCAATTATGAATGGCAGTTTGTTCTTGATTTGGCTCTCTTTAAGTCTGTTATTGGTGTATAGGAATGCTTGTGATTTTTGCACATTGATTTTGTATCCTGGGTCTTTGCTGAAGTTGCTTATCAGTTTCAGGAGATTTTGGGCTGAGATGATGGGGTCTTCTAGATATACAATCATGTCATCTGCAAATAGAGACAATTTGATTTCCTCCTTTCCTATTTGAATACCCTTTATTTTTTTTTCTTGCCTGATTGCTCTGGCTAGAACTTCCAATACTATATTGAATAGGAGTGGTGAGAGAGGGCATCCTTGTCTAGTGCCAGATTTCAAAGGGAATGCTTCCAGTTTTTGCCCATTCAGTATGATATTGGCTGTTGGTTTGTCATAAATAGCTTTTATTATTTTGATATACATTCCGTCAATACCTAGTTTATTGAGGGTTTTTAGCTTAAAGGGATGTTGAATTTTGTCAAAGGCCTTCTCTGCATCAATTGGGATAATCATGTGGTTTTTGCCTTTGGTTCTGTTTATGTGGTGAATTATGTTTATAGACTTGTGTATGTTGAACCAGCCTTGCATCCCCAGGATGAATCCTACTTGATCATGGTGGACAAGCTTTTTGATGTGCTATTGCAATCGGCTTGCTAGTATTTTATTGAAGATTTTTGCATCTATGTTCATCATGGATATTGGCCTGAAGTTTTCTTTTCTTGCTGAGTCTCTGCCGGGTTTTGGTATCAGGATGATGTTGGTCTCATAAAATGATTTGGGAAGGATTCCCTCTTTTTGGATTATTTGGAATAGTTTGAGAAGGAATGGTAGCAGCTCCTCTTTGTATGTCTGGTAGAATTTGGCTGAGCCATCTGGATGTGGGTTTTTTTTGGGTGGTAGGCTCTTAATTGCTGCCTCAACTTCAGACCTTGTTATTTGTCTATTCAGGGTTTCGACTTTTTCCTGGTTTAGGCTTGGGACCATGCAAGTGTCCAGGAATTTATCCATTTCTTCCAGGTTTACTAGTTTATGTGCATAGAGTTGTTTGTAATAATCTCTGATGATGGTTTGAATTTCTGTGGAATCTGTGGTGATATCCCCTTTATCGTTTTTTATTGCATCTATTTGATTATTCTCTCTTTTCTTTTTTATTAATCTGGCTAGAGGTCTGTCTATTTTGTTGATCTTTTTGAAAAACCAGCTCCTGGATTTATTGATCTTTTGAAGGGTTTTTTGTGTCTCTATCTCCTTCAGTTCTGCTCTGATCTTAGTTTCTTGTCTTCTGCTAGGTTTTGAGTTTTTTTGAACTTGCTCCTCTAGCTCTTTCAATTTTGACGATAGGGTGTCAATTTTAGATCTCTCCTTGCTTCTCATGTGGGCATTTATTGCTGTATATTTTCCTCTAGAGAGTGCTTTAAATGTGTCCCAGAGATTCTGGTATGTTGTGTCTTGGTTCTTGTTGGTTTCGAAGAACATCTTTATTTCTGCCTTCATTTCATTGTTTATCCAGACAATATTCAAGAGCCAGTTGTTCAGTTTCCATGAAGCTGTGTGGTTCTGAGTTAGTTTCTGAATTCTCAGTTCTACCTTGATTGCACTGTGGTCTGAGAGACTGTTTGTTATGATTTCCGTTCTTTTGCATTTGCTGAGGAGTGATTTACTTCCAATTATGTGGTCAGTTTTAGAGTAGGTGCGATGTGGTGCCAAGAAGAATGTATATTCCATGGATTTGGGGTGGAAAGTTCTGTAAACGTCTATTAGGTTTGCTTTGTCCAGGTCTGAGTTCAAGTCCTGGATATAGTTGTTAATTTTCTGTCTCGTTGATCTGTCTAATATTGACAATGGGGTGTTAAAGTCTCCCACTATTATTGTGTGGGAGTCTAAGTCTCTTTGTAAGTCATTAAGAACTTGCCTTCTGTATCTGGGTGCTCCTATATTGGGTGCATATATATTTAGAATCGTTAACTCTTCTTGTTGGATTGATCCCTTTACCATTATGTAATGTCCTTCTTTGTCTCTTTTTATCTTTGTTGGTTTAAAATCTATTTTATCAGAGACAAGAATTGCAACTCCTGCTTTTTTTTTTTTTTTTTTTTTCCTCTCCATTTTCTTGGTAAATCTCTCCATTTATTTTGAGCCTTTGTGTATCCTTGCATGTGAGATGGTTTCCTGGATACAGCACACCGATGGGTTTTGGCTTTTTATCCAATTTGCCAGTCTGTGTCTTTTGATTGGGGCATTGAGAGTTTCTTTAAAGGCCACTGCTTGAGAATTCTGTTGGTGTCAGTGATTGGGGATTGATAGGATGAGAGATTTAGGGTAATGGGAGATAGGTTACCATGTGTCCTATGGGTTTCATTGGTTGAGGAACATGTGGGAATACGTGATTGGAGTGTCTGTGGGGGCAGTGATTGGGAAGATCTGCTGCTGCTAGTGATTGGGAGGTTTGCTTTACCCAGTCATTTTGGAACTATAAGCCCAGTAATTAGGCAAAACTGTATCAGTTCAGTGATTGGAAGGCCAGTGACAATCAATGATGGGGGATTATTGGTAGTCAGTGACTGATCATAAATAGCTTTTATTATTTATGTGGAGGTCTGTGGGGTTAAATTGATGACTTTTGGAGGTAATTTATTGGTGGTTTGGCCAGGCATAGTGGCTGACATCTGTAATCTCAGCACTTTGGGAGACTGAGGTGGGAGGACTGCTTGAGTCTAGGAGTTTGAGCCCAGCCTGGGCAACATAGTGAGAACCTGTCTCTACAAAAAATTTGAAAATCAGTTAGGCAAGGGTGGTGCATACCTGTAGTTACAGCCACTTTGGAGGCTGAGGTGGGAGGACTGCATAAGCCCAGGAATTCAAGGTGTCAGTGAGCTATGATTGCACTATTGCACTTCAGCCAGGGCAAGAGGTAAGACCCTATCTCAAAAAAAAAAGAAAAAGAAAAGAAAAACAAAAAAAGAAAAACAAAAAGGTTGGTTATGAGGGTAAGGGATTATCTTTAAATGTTTGACAAACATGTTTGAATGTATATTTGTTAGTATCAAAATTCTCCAATAGCTGTGCCATCCTCCTTTCACCTACCTATAAGAGGACTTCAGCGTATTTTAATGTATTCCCTACTCCCACCCTCCTAGTTAGGGTTCTGCTTATTTTTCTTATATCATACCTTTTGATTTTAAGGACACTTTAGTAACAGTTGCACAAGCATATTATCAAGTTACTTAGATTTAACTAGACGTGTTACTGGTTGTATTAGTCATAGCTCTCTCTTGTATATTGTCTTTCCCAATTTTGAAATCTTTATTTTGATACAGTTTTTCTTCTTTTGAAAAATCATTCATTGTCTTTTTCTGCTTTTTTTCCTTTTCTCTTCCTCTTCCCCTTCCTCTGTTTCTTTGCAACTTTCTCCTATATTTCTAAAGAACATTGGTAGTATACTTTCTGCATTCTTACATGCCTAAAATATCTTACTTTTGCTGCCAAACAAATGAATGCCTTTTTTTTTTTTTTTTTTTTTTTTTTTTTTTTTTTTTTATACACAGTCTCTGTTGCCCAGGCTGGAGAGCAATAACTTGATCTCAGCTCGCTGCAACCCCTGCCTCCTGGGTTTAAGCAATTCTCCTGCCTTTGCCTCCTGAGTAGCTGGAATTACAGGTGCCTGTCACCATGCCCAGCTCATTTTTGTATTTTTAGTAGAGACCATATTGGGCAGGCTGGTCTTGAACTCCTGACCTCACATGATCCACCTGCCTTGGCCTACCAAATTGCTGGGATTACAGGCATGAGCCACTGTGCCTGGCTCATAAATGATTTTTTTTTTGGACTGGTTTTAAAAATCAAGGGTCTCAATTCTTCTACTTCAGAACTCTAAACTATAAATACTGCTCCATACCCTTTTAGCAGCCCCCGTTATAGAAGAAAAGATAAAGATTGATTCTGTTCCTCTCTCTCTTTCCTTGGTTATTTGTCTTTTTCTCTGATATTCATGTGATTTTATCCTCCTGAACAAAGAAATTCACAATAGGGACATTTCTGTTTGTTGAGATAGGGTCTCACTCTCTCAGCTAGGCTGGAGTACAGTGGTGTGAACTCAGCTCCCTACAGCCTTGACCTCCTGGGCTCAGGTAATCCTCCTGCCTCAGTCTCCTGAATAGCTGGGACTACAGGCATGTACCACCATGCCCAGCTAAGTTTTGTGTTTTTTTTTTTTTGTAGAGCTGGAGTTTTGCCATGTTGCCCAGACTGGTCTCAAACTCCTGAGCCCAAGCAATCCTCCTGCCTCAGCCTCCCAAAGTGATGGGATTACAGACATGAGCCACTGTGCCCAGCTCAGTAGGGACATTTCTTAATATGGCTTTTGTTTCTCAAAAAAGTGAAAGATTGAGTAGAGAATAGGTATCCTTTATAATATCATGATCAACAGCAAGTAGTCAAGGGAAGAACAAATTATCTTGTCCAAATCACTCACCAAATGTGGATAACATCAGCGTGAACAGGAATATGTTATTACAGGGATCAGTAACATTCAAAGATGTGACTATGGCCTTTACCCAGAAGGAATGGGAGCAGCTGGATCCTGCCCAGAGGAACTTGTATAAGGATGTGATGCTAGAGAACTACAGCAACCTAGCCTCAATGGGTAAGGATAATTTCTTCGTAATTCAAAATGTGTCCACTGTGATGCCTTCTTTCTGGAATCCTTGACAAGTTTGGCCTTGGTTTTAGTAGATCAAAGGGTTTTCTTCCCTTCTGGGGACTAGGCAGGATATTTGTGCCCCTGCCTCCAAAATGGAAGGTCTACTCAGTTGACCTGGCATTCACATTGTGAAACTCCAGAAGCCAGGTATTCTTTAGGCCCTGAAGTACAAATGATGGGGCTTCATTTCTGGGTTGGTTGTTCTAACACTCAGTTTTTACTATTTCTCATGGGCAGGGTGTCAAGCTCCCAAACCAGACATGATCTCCAAGTTGGAAAAAGGAGAAGCACCATGTTTGGGAAAGGGGAAAAGACTGAGCCAAGGTTGTCCAAGTAAAATAGCAAGATCCAAGCAAAAAGAAACTAATGGAAGTAAGTTGTAACTTTGACATTTTTCAAATAATAATTTATTCTGAAATTCTTCTTTAAGATCCTAGACCTTTCTTTCCTAACTAGAAAATAGCAGTAGAAAAATATCAGGATTTCCTGGGGGAAGAATAATTCAAACTACAAAGATTCTCTAACCTTAGAGATTCTAATATCCCTTCCTTTTATGGACTTGTTCACATGAGAGATTCTATGTGAGGTTTGCTACAGTGAGCTAGTAGTGTTAACTACGGGAGTTTGGTTATTTCACTTTTATCAGTCAGTTTCCACTAAGTGTTGCTGCATGAAGGAATGACTCCCTGAAATCTTAGTTACTTACAATTAAAAAAATTTATTTTATGTTTAAGCTGCAGCCCTATTCCATATTATCTTTATTTGGGGACCTATGCTGAAAGAGCATTCTCCATTTGCAAATTTTGGTCTCATGGCAGAGGGAAAAAAAGGGTGAGTGGAACCACATAACTGTTAAAGTCGCTGCTTGGAAACTGTAGATATCCCTTTCAGCTCCCATTTTATTGGTCAGAGCAGGACATCTGACCACTCCTGAGTTCAACATGGTAGGAATGTATAATCCTTCCACTGGGAAGGGTGCTATAATTCAAAAGTCTATGCATTTGGGAGGGGCTGGGAGGTATAATCTTCTCACAGAAAACAATAATACCATCTGTCAAGGTGAAAACTAGGGCTCTGAAACTTGGTACCAGCCCCTGAGATGCCTAACTGACCCTTCCATATTGCCATGTATCCTTATTCCTATGCTCAGTTGCTGAATCTTCAGAAGGAGCAATGACCCTCTTAGCTGTTCTCAATCCTACTCCTGCTTACCTTATATAAATCAGTGCTTTTTTTTTTTTTTAAAGCCTCCTCCCTTTTCCTAATATCCTCGATTTTTCTCCACCCATACTCTAAGACCCTAGGGTATCAAATTTTCTTCTATGTATTCGGACATTCTTAGATCTGCTGTCTTTTCAATTTTCTTGGCATGATGCTCCTGCTTTGAGTTACTTTCTGTTTCCCTCCTTTTACTATGAAATTCTCTAGACCCATGATCTATAGCACATCATCGTTTCCATTTTCTCCTTAAACCCTGCAGTCAAATTCCACAGAATTCATGCCTCTGTCTAAATTTCTGACTTTAAAGTCACCACTGCTTACTTTTCAGTGCATATTTTAATAGTTTTGATTAGCTTGAAGTTCTCACTCACCTAGTTTGAATTGTACGACTCGAATCAGATCTTATCCTCTAAGTGCATCTTTATCATTTACTCACTAACTTCTCTTCCTTCTCGTTTTGCTGAGGTGTCCCTAAGGTTTTGTCTTCTACCATCTGTTCTTTTTTAAAATTATATTTCCTTCAAAGTGATTGATTATTCATTGTGCAAATAAAAGCTATTTATTCTACACTTGTGACTTCCAAATGGACATCTCCAATTCTTTTGTCTTACACTCATATTTGACCTGCTTACACAACAGCTTCTTCTTAGGATGTCAGAAATTGGAAGCTTTGTCTTTCTTTCTAAATTAGAAGTTCTTTTCATCCTCCCTGTTTTTATCAGGGTGTACTCTGATTATAGGACTGTCTCCCAGAGTTACTATCTTATCTTCAGTTTCTGTTTTTTTTCTCTCAATTTTCAATGTCATCACACAAATCAGGTTCATATTATCTCATACTTAAAATTTTCCAATTCTTAGGTAAATTTGCTAAATCTATTTTTTCCTAATTCTTTCTCTTTTTTTTCATAAAGACTGGGTCTTGCTATGTTGCCCAGGCTGGTCTTGAACTCCTGGTCTCAAGCTGTTCTCCCTCTTTAGCTTCCCAGTCTTGGGATTACAGGTGTAAGCCACCATGCCCAGCTTTAATTGATCTTAGATATTACCACCAAACATTAAAATATTCAGTTATTGTTTATGTTACTATAGTCCCCAAATTATTAATAACAGAATATCTGCAGTGTCTTTTAAGTTTCTTTTGACCCTGAATTGTCCAAGACTGTATGAATTCCCTGAGACCAGAGGAACCATTCTTTGAAATGACAAATGAAGAGACTCAGTGGAGTTTCTGATTCATCCATTTAATGGTTCCAGTTTTTGCTATCCTTACTTTTCTTGTTGACACTTTGAATTACAGCTAAAAAACAATCCTGAGTCATTTAATACATCTTTGTCATTGCTACAATGACTCTCTTCTTGGTTCAGGTTCTTAATGTACTACTTAGGAGGCTCTTCAAATAAGGGCTGTTCTATTCTCTCTAATAATTTGCTGGGGCCAAGTGAGCTCCATATTTGTTTCTGAAGTTACAGAATTTTTTTAGAATGTTTTAGCTTAGAATTTATGTTTTAGTTACTGTCTCAAATTCAAGAAAACCTTCCAGCCTTAGTCAATTGCTCTTCTAGACCCAACTCTTCTCTGGTATTACCATATTACTATACCAATTTATTTGTTCCAATTCTCCTCCTTTCCTTCATGATGATATTTTCTTGTAGTACCTTATGTCTTTTTCTGCTGGCAGATATCAGTTGGGGCCAGCCCTATTCATCATTGTAAAGGTTCTTATAATATTACATGTCAAGGGGAAAGGTTTCCATTTTGATTCCTTTCTTTCGAGAAGGAAATTTTCCTCCATCTTGTCCATCATCCTTGGGCATTGGTTGAAAGACACAGCCTTGTCATAGTACCTAAAAGTTTGTTACACTCTCTGCATCACTGAAAATTTCCTACATGAAAAAGCCAGCAACTGTACTTCTCTAAACTACTGATATGTATATACACACACACACACTTTCTGCTCCATGGGAATTACTATCTTTAATGTCCTTTATAAAAGTAATAATATTTCCTGTTTCTCCATTCAGATATTGTAACTCTTTTTGGTTTGAGTCCAGTTTTCACTTTCTCAATGTCATGCTCCTTTACCATCAAGGTGGTTATTTACTTTCTCTCTCTTTTTGAAGTCATGAGGATTTTTGTATCTGCTTCTAAGACTGTTTAATTCTCACTCTGAAGCTTTTTCATGCATATAGTGTGTGGCTGAAAAAGGACATCCCTAAATGGTGGCCCCAGCTCTTAAGATGATAGGTTTTTATACATGTAGTAGCCATGGCTGGCTACAAGAAGTCTATACATTTCAATTTCAGGTTCTTAGGCAAAAGAATATTATTGCACTACCCAGTGTTTACCACTGTCTAATCCATTGCTTTTAGCCAGAATTTGGATTATGTAGTACAAACATAGTGGCCCAAAGCTTTTAGTGTGGGTAATGGTCTCAGAGGAGGGAAGCAGGGATTAAGAAGATATCTCAAAATGTGTAAGTGTATAATATATGACAGAAAGAATGTAAGCAACCACTTAGAGCTGGGAATAAACTTTAGACCTGAAAAGAACAAATATATATTCCATAGCAAACTGTTGGAAAGCAAAACAAGCTTGGATGTACACTATAAATCAGATTGAATAAAGTTTGTTTCCTAATTACTATGAATTTTATCATTTGATGAAAGGATCAGGTAATTTAGAGAAACTATAGGGATTTTTTTTTAGACCAAGTCTCACTCTGTCACCCAAGCTGGAGTGCAGTGGCATGATCTTGGCTCACTGCAACCTCCATGTCCCAGGTTCAAGTGATTCTTCTGCCTCAGCCTCCTGAGTAGCTGGGACTACAGGCACGTGCCACCGTGCCCAGCTAATTTTTGTATTTTTAGTAGAGATGAGGTTTCACTATGTTGGCCAGCCTGGTCTCGAACTCTTGACCTCATGATCCACCCACCTCAGCCTCCCAAAGTGCTCAGATTATAGGCATGAGCCACGGCACTTGGCCATACATAATTGAAATTCTGGCTAAAATGTACAAGAGTATCATTTTTGGGGATTATTTCAGTGGTAGCAGTGGAAAAGAAAAGATGTCAGCAGGAAAAGATCTAAATACTACAAAAAAATTCATCATGAGTAGTAGAAAGGGGATAACCTTTCCTATATATTCTCTCTCAGCCACCTGTCAGCTCTTTAGTACTTTTTTTTTTTTTTTTTTTCAGGAAGCTCAAAATCAACAACAGTGACATTTATTAGCAGTTAGAGTATTCCTGGCATATTCTGTGTCAGGTCTTTGGTATAGAAAAGATGATTATAGGCCTGGCCTACTCTCATGGTGGTTATAATCTAGCAACCTTGGGAGGTTATAATCAGTTACCTTTATTTTTTTAATTGCATTTTAGGTTTTGGGGCACATGTGAAGAACATGCAAGATTGTTGCTTAGGTACACACATGGCAGCGTGATTTGCTGCCTTCCTCCCCTTCACCTATATCTGGCATTTCTCCCCATGCTATCTCTCCCCAACTCCCCACCCACCACTGTCCCTCCCCTATTTTCTCCCAACATACCCCAGTGTGTGATGCTCCCCTCCCTGTGTCCGTGTGTTCTCATTGTTCAACACCTAGCTGTGACTGAGAACATGCGGTGTTTGATTTTCTGTTCTTGTGTCAGTTTGTTGAAGATGATGGTTTCCAGGTTCATCCTTGTCCCTACAAAGGACACAAACTCATCGTTTTTGATGGTGGCATAATATTCCATGGTGTGTATGTGCCACATTTTCCCTGTCCAGTCTATTGTTGATGGGCATTTGGGTTGGTTCCAGGTCTTTGCTATTGTAAACTGTGCTGCAATAAAATTTGTGTGCATGTGTCCTTATAGTAGAACGATTTATAATCCTTTGGATATATACCCAGTAATGGGATTGCTGGGTCAAATGGAATTTCTATTTCTAGATCCTTGAGGAATCGCCACACTGTCTTCCACAATGGTTGAACTAATTTACACTCCCACCAACAGTGTAAAAGCGTTCCTGTTTCTCCACATCCTCTCCAGCATCTGTTGTCTCCAGATTTTTTAATGATCGTCATTCTAACTGGCATGAGATGGTATCTCAATGTGGTTTTGATCTGCATTTCTTTAATGACCAGTGATGATGACCATTTTTTCATATATTTGTT